GACAGAAGCAGCTTGAACAGTTCAAAGAACAAATATCAAATGTCGTTCCACAAGACGATATTGAAATAGATCTCGAAGAAGAGTTTGAAAAATCTTCAGCACCTATTCCGATTTCTCTAGAGACTCAACAGGTACCCGAAGGATATCAATACAGTTTCTTCATATCTCATAGCAATAGAGACAGTGACTGGGTTATCAATATGCTTCTTTTCGAATTAGAAAAGAAATTTTCAGACAAAGACGAAGCTTTTAAAGGTAATTTATAGAATTCTAAAGATATAAGAGCCTCGTAGTTAATCTACAGTTACCGCTAGCCTGTCAACACTATTGTTGTGTGTTCAAACTCCGCTCGTGTCAAGGTGCGTTTTTGTCCCGATCTGAATTGTCTTTTGTTTGATTGTTTTCCTGTCGAAGGTGCGTGGTTTATTCTGGATACACCACTTTTATCTAGGGGGGGCGGGGGGGGGGGGGGGGGTGGTTTTTTCCTCAAAAATATTCTGATCCTCAATTTGATGAAACAAATATTGTGGTCAAGCAGATTACATAAAATTATTCTGAATCCAGGTTTTCCCCATACCTTTTAGTGTTAAATTTGGTAAAAAAAATGATTGTCAACTAAAACTAAAAAATAAATATTTTCTGACTCAGACAAAAGAACCATACCCCCCTTTTTTGAAGTTAAATGGTTGCTCCCTAAAGTACAAAAAAACATTTTAGAAAAAAAAACCCAAATATTTTATAATTTAATTTATTATTTAACATGATAATAATTGATTTCCTGTCTATAATAACCAGCAAAGATATCTGATGGTGAATACAATTTGGGTATCTGATAACACTTAACTCAAATAAATAAGAGTCATAGAAATTTCAATCCACGAATTCAAATATAGAACAAATATTCAACGATTGACCGAACCAGACATTATTTCACGAATGAACTAATTATCAATGTTGTTCGGTCACGAGCTAAATATTTTTCCATACTTGAATTTTTGAACTAGTTATTGTTTTTGATACATTGGCATTGAAATTTTGAAAGAAATAAAGTGAACAATACAAGAAAGTTTGTGTTTGTAACGCATTCTAAATGCGATTTTGGTATAACGTCATCGACAATTCATTCTTTTTTTGTCAACATATATATATGTAATAATTGTGTAAACCATTTTCAGGTTGTATTGCGGACCGGGATTTCGTTCCGGGAAAAACTATAATCAGGAACATCACAGAAGCAATCAGAAAAAGCTGTAAGATAATCCTTGTGCTAACAAGAAATTTTGTTGCGAGCCCTTGGTGCGAGAACGAAATGGAAAGAGCATTAGTACGACATATTAATGATAAAGATAGTTGTGTCATTCCCCTTTTATTGGAACCGTTGTCAGATGAGCAGTTTCCTGATTGTTTGAAAAATATTACATATTTAGATATGACAGATGAGAGTACAAGGATTCAAGAAATAAGCAGACTGAAGCGGGCTTTGTTGTATGTACCTGGTGATGACATTATATACGTTCGGGAAGACAAGTGAATATTTAAGCTAAAGACGTGGCAATACAATGAAAATGTGTAATATAAAAATTTACCAATCGTCACACTAGACATATTGATGTTCTGCAAGTTGGTTCAACTTTAAAGATGCAGATCAGAAAATGTTGTCACAGGTTTATAATTTTGTAACTTATTAAACGACACGTGACCATTACAAAAGTTAAACTCATTCATTTTACTTTCTCTTATTTTCAAACGAAATTGATTAAATCATGATTGATCTTGATATTCACTGCTTTTAAGAAAGCAATATTCTATGATTATGTTTGTCATATCAGTGTTTTCTGTAACAGATAAAGGAATATGTAGTGTGGTCGCCAATTATACAACAACCCGACAACACAAATAACAAAAAACGGGCCTACATACCTTTGCAGCAATAAACAGATGCCCTATATATTTTAACAGGGTCTAGATCTTCCCTTGTCTAAAATAGAATATAGAGAAGAAACTATAAAATCACGTTCTGGTCACATGAGATCAAACTCGAAAAATAACTTTCAAGACAAGTTACAACCAGGGAGATGAATTAAAAAACCCGTTCAGAACACCTGTGGTAACCCTAGGTTGTTTTGGGGGGCGTGTTTTTCAAATTTTAATATTAGTTTTGTGTAAACATTGTGTATGTGTTTCTCTCTCGTTTGACTATGATGTTGTATGGTCGGCAACTTAAGGTTTGGTTGGGCCCTTATTTTTTTGTATTTCGTTCAGCAGTTACAATGTACCATCCATAGAAATTGTTAATCTTATATGAAAAAACAGTACAAACGTATAACCCTATTAATTTATCATAAATGGGATATATAATCAACTTAAAAAAAAAAAAATTTCGCGGTGTAGTTAAAGATCGGAAAAAAAATAATATCGAAGAAAATCATAATGACGTACACAACAGAGCATCTTAAGCCTGAGTCTTAACAAGTCACAAGAAACACACATTATATTATGTTTTCTTCGAAATTACGTCGCAGGATAGATAATGTACAGATCATAGTCTGCATACTGTGAACAATGTTTCGATAAATAGACGAAAAACATGAAGGTAATACAAATAGAGTGGAAAATATTATTTGTGGAGAAAAAAAATGTACATCAAGGATGTTTTAGGTATATTAAGATAAAGACTCTTTAGTATTATATGTCCAGAGGGAGATTTTGACCCAGTAAGTGAAACAAACACTGGAGAATTTGGCCATAGTCCTTAATGAAGATATTCAGTCCTACTGAAAGGGTAAGTTGGAGGATAAATAATGAATATGTCATAGCCTACAGATTTTGTATAAATGTATTAATGGAGTCAGATCAAATCAGGTAGGTAACTCAAAATGAAATAACAGTAGGTATATAATTGTATAAAACAAAGGAATAAGCATTTGTTTTTTTTTTAAATTGTCACAAGAAAGGGTTCTTAAGGGTTATTTTCTTTCAACATGAATTGCATGTAATTGTATCAGTATTATCGTGGCAAAAGGCCTTTGTTCGTCGTGTTACCATATAACGTAAATAAACAAGTTTGATGAAGATCAATGAAGTATATGTTGTCCGTAAACTAATGTTATTGTTGTATTTGGGTTGTTGTCCCTTTGTCGTTTTCCCCACATCTCCAGTTATTCATACTTTTGAATTTAAATTGAGAGAAAGACATATATTTTTTTTTCAAATTGCAATATACAGCTACAGAAGAAATACATGACTGAAATCCAGTTTACTGTATCAAAAATGTCACTTGATCCTTACCATATGATTCAGTCTATTGTTAGTTTGATACTCCATTCGTTGCTATCGATAACAACAATGTCATGTGTACAGGAATACATATTATATACAGCATTATAGGAATGTTACAGCTTTAAACAATAACATGCAAGGTTATTGGTCAATTTTGACATGTTTATGATGTCATATTGTTATCTCAAGTGATTTTTTTTGCAAATAAGTTTCTCGATACTAAGTAATATCAAATAACTGGTTCATTTATCTGAAGAATGAACATGACACAGAAAATCATGAATATCTTTCCTTTTTGCAAGTTAAGGGGTTGAATAATGACCCTTACCATTACTCCTTATTTGCTTAAATAAGGGTAAACGATAAATAGTTTACTTCACTGACGTTAACTGTAACTAAACAAGAATGTGTCCATAGTACACAGATGCCCCATCTGCACTATCATTTTCTATGTTCAGTGGACCGTGAAATTGGGGTGAAAACTCTAATTTGGCATTACAATTAGAAATATCATATCTTAGGGAACATGTGTACTAGGTTTCAAGTTGATTGGACTTCAACTTCAACAAAAACTACCTCGACCAAAAACTTTAACCTAAAGCGGGACATACGGACAGACAAACGAACGGACGCACAGACCAGAAAACACAATGCCCATAAATTGGGCATAAAAATGCGATTTGATGTATGCCAATATAATTTTTAGACTCATTTAACGCTACACGTATCGACTTCAGTGTTGAAAAACTGACACATAGAGCATAAGATCATTCCAATCCTCCTGACATATTTGCGGTAGGTGAATATTTCTTATTATGCTTTTTAACAAATATATAAAAACTTGGCAATATAAACAAATTTCACATCGTTATAACCGTAAATAAAAGGTAGCAGTCGAGCTGTTTGGACAAACCAAACTCTGAAAACAAACAATAAAAATAAAGACTGTTAAATCAGAAAGTTCGCTTCGAGCTAGATGATTCCCCTCCTTTTTTCAAAGATAAAATACGCCTACATACGGGCTTTGTCATTTTCTAACAAAAAAATATGAGAGCCTATAATTCAATAGCGTCCGAAAAACGTAGTTGCATTAGATTATGGTAGTCCTCCTTGATACGGACCTTGTCATTTTTGAACGAAATTATGATAGGTCATGATTAAGGATGTAATCTTCTGACGTTTCAGTCTCGTGGAAATCTCGTTCTGGAATTATTTCCAAAACATGTGATACAATTCTAATGCGCAAAATATCGTTGTTACAGCATTTTGTGATTTGCTCTGTTTTATTGTTACATGAAGTGATAATGTGGGAGTACACGTCAATAAGACAGCACCTTAACAGCAATACGACTATACGTGTTTACATAAATTTTCAACAATTTTAGGTAGATATATTCATATATGGCAAGCGATGAATAAATCCAATTCTAAATGAGCTAACTATAAATTAAACACACACGAGTGCAAAAGTAATAATCTTAAGCTTTGATCATACCTAATCACACTGAAACAACGAAAAAAGGCCAATTATCCCTCATGAAGACGAATCGCGTATGTTGCATATTCAATTGGAAAGGGAACTAATTTTGATATTTTTAACAAGGAAGTTTATATTTGTTTTTGCAAAAAACTGTATATAAGGGTGCTTAAGGGTTAATTTCTTTTACACATTTTAAATGTATTTTTTTTCGAGTACTTTCCACTAAAAGGCCGTTGTTCACGTGTTACGTCCAAATGGGTGGAAATGGCTAAAATTATTTCATGTTCAACGTAGATTCATTGATTTGTTTTTATTTTACATACCTCTGTATATGATACCCATGAAAAAAATGAAAACAACACGTGAACATATAACATATCACACGACAGCCGCATAACTAATCAATACCTGTGCATGCAATATGCATATTATGTTTTTATCATTTTAAAATCGAGTGTTCCTGGTACTGTTGACGTCGTTTGCCAGAATGAAGACCTTTGTAGTTCTTGTTGCATTCTTACAACTTGCAATAATTGCAAGTCTAAGAAAACACAAACCGGTCAGTATTACCTTGAATGCAGGGAAAAACTTACCAGTTAGTGGCTTCCTAATAGACAATTCGAACTAGATTAAAGAAGGGAATTATCAGTTAGACAAAATAAAGGCAGTTTCGAAGCACAATAGGGACAGCATTTCTGCAATTGAATCCAGACTAACAGACCTCAGTAAGGCGGTAAATGGTTTGCTTAAAACAACTGCACAACAGGCTGATCCGGCAAGTGATGGTTTGTATACATAAGATAAAACTTTTTTTTTTACAAAACTTTGATAATTGCGCGAACTTAATTTATTTTAGATGCAAATATCAGTTGTAATTTAAACTGAAAGTTGACATTAAGAAAACTCACAATGACTATACAAATTTTAACAGTGCGGTAAGAACTCATATTGTAAGTACGTTATTTGCTAACAAATAGGCGCGTGATAGCACTGTTCGTCCTTTGTTCTAGTGATTATTTAACGAGTCTATAGTCTATAATTATAGAGCTCGTTAGAACATCGATCTATCTGTTCAATGCGACAATACAGATTATAGTCGTTCAGACATACAGTGAGAAAAAAGTGGGAAAGACTACAATCTTATAATGTTGATTTGTAATGGTATATTGTTAAGTTCACACATTGACAATTAGGTAATGATTTAACGACGAAAAGAAATAGAAAAATATAACATTGGGGAGTGGAAGTTTCCAAATAAACATTATGACTTATTTTGTTTTTGTTTTTTTATTAGTTTTCTAGAAATGTTTTCTTTATATATTAGGTTACATTGGATGTTACAAGGATGACGGTAATCGACATCTCAAATATAAAATATCGGACTTGGGGAATTCTATAACCTTGGCTAAATGCCGTGAACATTGTAAAGGATATAAATACACGGGCTTGCAGGTAGATATGATTCCACAACAAACTTTTAAAGTTCAATAATCAGATACGTAATTTGAAATAGGCATTTGTAATTGGCTTATAATCGTAATAGGTTATACTATTGTAGATATTTATTACTCAAACATGGTCGAGGCAAAGCTGATATATAAAACAACAGATACCAAATAATATAGTTTATATAAAATGTGCTTTGTGTTTACCACTGTGACGTCACTTTGTTGAGTTATGATCATTTATTTTTCATATCCTTAAAAAACGTCTATTCATTCCTTTTTATTTTGTGCAAATCATATACATGTATTAATTATTATCTATAGACATTACAATTTGTTTTTCATTTTAGTATCGCATATATTGTCTTTGTGGAAATGGACTAGCAAACAAACAGTATCCAAGGGTACCAGAATCAGATTGTAACATGGCTTGTGCTGGTGAAACGAATCGAATGTGTGGAGGTGGCTATAGAAACTCGATATATTTAGGTAACTAAATCAAATGAATAGTTTGTCCATCAGTTATAAAATTAAAGATATTATAGATTGATATAATATAAATATGGAATTAGAAATAACAATTTTAAAATGTCGTGCGTCCGGATATGGTCTGATTTTAAATGAGAAAACTATCAATCGGAGAACAAATCATCTGCATTGATGTAAGTGACTTAAGGTTAAAATACGGATTTTAATAATGAAAAAAAAAAAACAACCAATATTTTATGTAAAGCTAGTGTGTCTTACTTTTAAGTCCCATTTATATAATGTTCATTTTTTAAATGTATTTTCATTAACATGATTAATAAAAACAATTAAATGGATCAATTCGGAAGTTGTGTTGCATTATGGGGCCAATACTGTTTTAGGCGTTCTGGTTGCTTCAAACACCAATACGATGACTCTGAAACTACACGTCATTAATGCATGGGGACGAACATTGATATTTGTTTATCTATTCTAAATTCTTATGCATAAATTTTTCTTTTTCAGTCAAACCGTAATCGCAAAGAGAAATGCAGAAAAAACACAGAGATCAGTATCAAAATAAAATGATAGTATTTTAATGTGATTGCTTGTTGAAAATACTGCATGTTAATAATATACAAGGATTGAAGAAGATCAATGAAGTAATCTGATAGCTTGTTATATTTCTTTTTATTGCGGTCTCTATATCTCCTGTTATTTATATAATTAAATCTAAATTAGGAGAAATATTTGTTTGTTTACAAGATGCAGATACAGTAGAAATACATGACCGAAATCAAGTTTTTTGTATCATAAATTGTCCTTTGATCCTTATCGTGTATTTCAGTCAGTTGTGTGTTTGTTACTCCATTGGCTGCTATAGATAACATCAATGTTATGTGTACAGGGTGACATAGTTAATACATGATACACACACCACGTCTGCCTTAAGCAATACACCAAAGTTAAATACGCATATTTTCACAATTTTTTTTCAAAATTAAAAGAGTCAAATAATCAACGCACGAGGTCAGTTATGTATGGTTTTGGGTGTTTTTTTTTGTATCTTTTAAATGTTTTCAGCTTTCAATATTCATTGTTCCCTCATTTTGTATTTAATATATAGATGAATCAATTGGACAAGACGAAATACGGATGGATGTGTAGGACAATAATTTAATAAGATTCTATGGTAGAATGATACTAGGAAACAACCAATATTTCAATGAAGATGTGCGTTAAACTCGTTTTTTTACAGTTAATAGAAGTTAATCAGCAAAAAAACTACTTCAACTCAAACCTAGTGGAGACATATATTTATGTCTGCTATTGATCTAGTTAGGTCTTTCCACTTTTCTGTTGAAAGACCTATTGTATTTGTTCTGATTATAATTTTTTTTCTTCTTCCGCCAAACCCTTTTCTTGCGGTCTAAAGTGGTTTCGCAAGATGTTTCTTATATTTTTTGCATATTATATCGAACAGTTATTGCGCTTTTGAAAATCACTCTGTTTAACTTTTTATTGGTAGATCTATTTCCCCAAACACTGTTTTTCTTGTGCGTGCATCTTCTTCTCAACCGTAAAAGAAATCGAATTTATTTTTCCCAATTGGTTGTTAATTCAATTTTAACCGAAGCGACACTGTCCAAAGCTATGGGATGATATCTTACAGGATTTATAGCCCTGACATGGTTAAATGTAAGGCTTATTGATTATAGCTTCATACTGGTACATGATAAAGACATGGGGTCTTTTACAAAGGGATAGGTGACATATGACCTTGAAAAACATCAACCGGAAGTGACCTTGTGCAGAACGGATGTAGCCATGTTAACTCGTATTCAAAGGAAAATAACTTAGAGACTATAAGTTTTTGGAATCAGCATACAATAACATATACAATGACACCGGAAATTACCTTTTGTAAACCGGATGTAGCTAATTATCTCTCTTATTTGAAACAAAAGTACATAGAAATTATATTTTTTGGAATATGTGTAAAGTAAGCTATCTTTTGGAACCGAATGTGACCTTCTGTAAATCGAAAGTGGTTGATTATCTCCCTTATTACAAGAAAAAATACATAGAAACCATTTTTTTGGAATCGGTGTAAAATAACCTTTAAGATAAAACCGGAAGTTACTTTTTCTAACCTGGAAGTATCTTATGATTCCCTTATTTCACATAAATGTACCTAGCAACCATTTGATTTACAAATCAGTATAAAATGTTCTTTAATATACAAGTGAAATTTTCTAGACAAGAAGTAGCTTATAATCTCCTATATTTCAAGTGCAAGTTCAAAGAAACCATATATCTTTAGAATTGGTGTATAGTTTTTCTCATACCCTTAGTGGGTTTTTATTCTTTTCAAAAACAATCAGTCTAATCTTATGTAGAAAGACTGTCAGTTGTTCTCTGAACAATTGGTTTTTAATTTGTTTTTATTTTTGCCATGAAGAGTGAATTTAAAGAATTGTCTTTTAATGAGTGACTATAATAACCTAGCCAAACGATCGCGAAGCGATTCAAACTGTTTTTGACTTTTTTTTATATAAAGAAATTATGTTTTCGATTGATGGGGAGTTAACACAATTTAGCTAACGCTTGAATCCTCCCTAGCCATATTTTGTTAATTTTAAACAGATATGAATTTGTCCAGATTCCCATTTGATCATGTGATCATGTGACAAGTTAATGTATCTTTTAGAATTGTGTTGACCTCACTTTATATTCCATATTAATGTGGTTTGTAATGTTCAATGCTTCATTGTCTTTCTATTGTGTTTCAATGTTTATTGAAGTGTATGATTTCCCCATGATGATAAACCAGTATGAACATTCTGTTGTTAAGATTTTTCATTTCAAACTAGACATTTCTCATTCCCATGTGCAAGTTGACATTTCTCATTTCCAACTGCAAGTTGACAATTCTCATTTCCAACTGTAATTTGACATTTCTTATTTCAAACTGCATATTGACATTTCTCATCTCCAAATTAACATATCTTAGTTCCGAGTTTACATTTCTCATAGTTATCTAAGTTGGAACCGAGAAATGTCAACTTGGAAATGAAAGAAAAACACTTGATTAGTTTCTTGCGTTCGAAGTGCACCATTGAAATAAAATATACTCATGCATGCTACTCATTTGTGTCTTCTCCTCTCAATACATGTATGGTTCGGTGAACACCTGGTTGGCTGTGCCAAATTTTTACTTGTTGGTGGAAAGGTAAACAGTAATTTTTGAAGTATTCTTAGCATTGTTGGTTTTTCTTATTTAAAGGTACGTGGGATACACGTTTATTAGATGGCTGCCAAACAACACAAAGGAACCACAAGTATTTATATAAAGGTCAAAAACGGTTTACAAATCCGGAAAACGATATATTTCAATATGCTGAATTCTGAATCTCTCTTATCTAGAACATTTGCAAATTTGTAACAGAATGTAATAGAGATCTGCTATTAATTGATACAAAAACTATAAACTTAAACAGCATAAAATTTAAACCGACAACTTATATATTAAATGTTTGAGATTACGTGAGACATTTGATCTTGTTGTTTTATTGAGTCAATCGTATCCGCTTCAGAGGGAAATCTCGAGAACTGTCAGACGAATACAATATACTGTTGTTGTTGAATGTTTAAAAGCATTTCTCTGTATATTAAAGGACAAATATTCTGAACATTTTGGTTAATGGTATATGTACTTGTATGCACAATGATTTGTTCATTTTTCGTTAACGGCACTTGTATTAAGAGAACTTTAAACATTTAAGATCTTTGTACATGTATTGTTGAAATTTGCACGTTTTTGGAAAAAAAATCTACCTCGTGAAAAAGCAGCGTGAAAGTTTCAAAAAATTAAGAGTTAGGTAGCTAATCAAACGAACACAACGTTCTTAACAGTATGGTGTCAGTAACGGTTAAGTCGAGGACCAGAAATCAGCAACAAAATGTTGAAAACAAAACAGAAACACAGTGAAGCTGAAAACAATGGACACGTTACCCGCCTGGATCTATTTAACCCTGTGTATTCAGTATTCCCACGTCCCGATTAGTTTGGTAAGTGTAAACACAAACTAATATATTTTCATGTTTAAGTCAGCTTTATTTTGATATGATAAAATATTGTTCTTCTTAAATCTGATTTCATTATGTCTGTTTGTAACTTCACTTGTCACTTGGTTTCTTTGGCGTGTTATTACTCTAGATTTTGATTATTCACCCTCCTTAAGGGCATACAGTAGAGATCCCTCGTTGATTTTTTCTTGAAATTTTGGTAGAAGGTCAATTTCGATGTGTACTTTTGAAATATGCAAAGAAAAATATACCTTCATGACTTACTTTTGGAGATAATTTGGTTCGAAATTTGCATATTTGAAGGAAAAACCCTGAAATTTCAAAAATCAGGACTTTTAAGGAAAGTACCAATACTTTTGAACGAACAGTCATAATTTAACCGGGTTTTTTGTAAAATGTTCCTTTGATCTATGGCATCAGCATGCTGTAACAAGTGAACGGTTGATATAAATATTTATCTCCTAAATTCTTTTAATACAAGTGAAATAAAGAAGATGAAAATATTTTTGCGTCTACACAGAACTGCAGAAAAAATTCTATCGTTGATTTTTTCTTAAAATTTTGGCGGAGCGTTCTTGAAACAGAACTTGATTGATTGCAAAAGAAAAAACTGGGGGTCCATGTGTTTGTTTTTTCAATAAAAGCAATAAACCTTATTTTTTATTGGCAAACGGGACGTTTGCCAATAAGGCGCCAAACTACGTTGGAATAAGTTTTATTCGCAACAACGTCGTGAAATCTTTCCCGCCGTTCACTACTACGTTGTCAATTTCAGTGGTAGAGCCAAGGTGTTTTTTTTTTTTAACCAATGACATTAATCATCAAAATTAATAAAGCTGGCTCCTCGTAAATAGCATCATATTTGCCAAACCTTTATGAATTGTTACGAAACTTGGATAGAAAAAGTATTCTAGTAAATTACTTTTAGAAAAGAAATGTTCGGAAACAAAACAGATATATATAATAAAAATATTAATTTGCATCTCTGCATGTCCGACATTAGTCATACAATTCATGTAGAAAACACAGCTTGAACATAGTTTTAATTATTCAAAAGGCTCCGACATGACAATATGTGCAACAATTATAAAGTAAGGGGGATGATATAAAAATAAGGACATTTGGTATGATTGTAAAAGAGACAACTATCAACCATAGTTCAAATGACGAAGATAAACGCTATTAAAGGTAACCCTACGGTCTTCAACACACAAAAAAAAAAAGAAAAAAAAAAAGCCACACCGTATAGTCAGCTTTAAAAAGCCCCGACATGAAAATGTAAAATAATTCAAACAAGAAAACTAACGACCTACTCTATAGGCATTACATGAACACAAAATCATACCCACATTAAATCGGGGTCAGCTTAGTCCATTACAGTGTAGTATAACATTTCATACAGCAGTCGATATAAGAGCATGAAATTTAATGATTCTGTATCAATAGATAAGTTAGTTAGTTATCTAAGCTTGTCTTCAGGGTATTTTTTTTTATTACGGTACATATAATC